TAGTGTATTTCCTTGAATGGCAGCTTAAGCGAAAGCCAGCAACAACAATTCTTCTTTTTTGAGGTTCATAAATGATTGTTGTTCCGTGGGAAAAAAAACAAGAGACTACGTACTATACCTACCACATAGCTGCTGTCGTGTCTGCATTAGATAGGCTCTCCTGTCTGATGGTATGAAAACGGAGATCTGTATCTCCATCATTAATATCATGGAAAGTAAGGTAACCAATTGGCCCCATTATTATAGTGTGAAAATAAACGACATTCCAACTGTCACAAATTCTTTTTTACCTTTTGTCACTTTCTGTTAAATACGTCGTTATCAGTCACAGTCGAGATAATGATCCTTGTTTGATGCATAAATGGATTATTAATAGTTCGAAGCACATTGCAGTTTTTAATAAGGTGCATGGTGATTGTTGCTGATTTTACTGTTTCTTTTTTTTCAATTTTGACATGCTGATTATGGCTTGCTTTTCGCTTGTGCAAACATTCCTCCGTAATTACTTCTCAGAAAGAAAAACGTGCATGTCATTCATATCAGACAGAGAGAAGACCGCAGGTTAGCCTTCAACAAACTCATTTTTTACTCTCGATATATTTCTTAAATGCTTAATGTAATTTTTTGCAAGATAAAGAGATGCAACGACCGTTACGTTGCTTCTTGCATCACATCCATAGAGCACGATCGAATAGTCTCATTTCTTAGCGGCAGTCGATTCGAATCGCCGTGGATCATCGAAAGAATTTAATCAGAAATTAGTGGCAAAAAATTCAGTGAACGGAATGTAGATGTTTGCGACTCGAAGCTTTCAGCTGATCATTAGCGACGCTTAGTCACAACTTCGCCTTCTAAGTGCTTCGTTTAAATCCCACTTATGAACTCACGACAGCTTTCTATTGAGTTAGCACGATATAAATGATAAAATATTCCGAAATATGGGAAATTATCCACCACGACGTCAGCGATCGATTCATTACCATCCATGCTTTATCTGTTTACTGTGGGATTGCGCACTGTTGTGTTTATGATGTAAGCAAGAAAGCAACAGGTATTCATAAAACATGTAAAATGGAAAGTTTCTATGACCGTCGGAATGTCGATCTGGGCCATATTTTGATAATAGGCTGCATCCTAACGTTTTATCCTTATTCAAGAAAGGGTTCATGAGTTTCGTCAATTGATTGACGACGGTGAAGATGGATGGAAACTTCAGCTGAAGCCTGGTTTCATCAGAATAAGAATTTGACTTATTTAAAGAGTCCAAATAAGGTTTACCATTGGAAAATACGGGAAAAGACCAATATACCACGTATAACCGATGTTGTGAGTGACATCAAGGCTACTCGTTAGTGATGAACAGTTCGCCTATTAGTGCTTCCACTGTCAATGCTCGGCCAATGCGTCATGTTCATAACATATTAACCAAAATTATGGTCTTAATTTCTGTGTGGTACTTGAGATCAGAAGAAAAGTCCTGGCGCAGTATAAAATAGACAGAATATAGACGATGATGAGAAGAAAGCAGCGGAAAGTAGTCGTAAGAGGCTAAATCGACATCTGACGTCCAAAACGTCCATTTTAGACTGCAAGGATCCAGATGTATTAAAAATTGTAATGATACAGATCGATCCGGGTTTCAGAAAACAACCGCGCAGAGGATAAGTTTATCAACATATTTTTTAATGCGCCAAATTTCCGGCTATGTAAAGCATAAGACTGGAATGGTTAGAGTTCCTAAGGGAGGATTCAACCATCCTCACTTCTCGTGTTTCTAATAGGAACTGTAAGCGTATGTAAGGACTGTTGCAGTGTGATCACGATCACTAGAGTCTTTCACATTACATGGCGCAACATAATCAGTATTGATGACAACGACGACTGGGGAATGTACAGAAAGCGAAAGATTAACCAAGGGGTAACGGAGGGGCTCCGATCAATGGTCATTTGTCCCTTGAGGATGATTGCAAACGTGACCAGCGGCCATGGCCTTGATTACAACCGTCGTCGGTGCGTGCCTACTAAATACGATCGCGGCGCGGCTCATCGGCCTTCTAATTGGCCACTTAGCGGACGATCCGCTAAAAAGCGATCGATCGACTCCCGAGGGCTCCAATTAACATTGGATTGTTCTGCCAATTTCTACAGTGCGCTAGTCAATTACAACGCGTCGTCGCTCGTCTCACTGTCAGTCCTTAATTTATGATAATCAGGACCGCGCTATTCGTTAAGAGCTTAGTCTTTACAATCACGGATATAACAAAATTTGCGTGGGATGGGGATGGAGGGTATGACTGTTGGTGTGAATTCCAAAAGATGCTTTTTCTTTTCTTTAATAGCTGTCCATAAATTCGACCTATGAACATCTTGGCGAGGAAGGATAATGACTAAACTCAAGGTAGCACACCGAGATGAAGGGAAAGTTAAACAACAAGCTCACGAAGAACATTTCTCGCTGCGACTCAGTCAACAACATGATTCTAAGTGTAACATGATGCCTACTTCAGGCACTCAGTGGATTACTTCTAAATGAGGCTGCTTCTGAATCCGTGACACAGAAAAATACCATTTGGACAGCTCCGAAGTCCGGTCATGGGCAATAAAGGAACTAACTAACGATGAAATGATAAAAGGTGGATAAGGGATCTCTTTATGCCTATACAGCAACAGTTTAAGGACACTCTTTCTGTAAACTTCAAAAAACAAACAAGTCAGCATTAGCATAATTCCCCAATGAAGTCATGGTGGAACTTTTCGTTATATCGTTCATCGCACCGCGTACCTTTCTTAATCAAGCAACA